AGGATTCAGGGCTTGGGATTTAGGATCTAGGGTCTAGGGTCTACAGCTTAGTGTTTGGGCGTCTGGGGTTTGTGATTTAGGGTTTAAGGTTCGTGCTCTCCTTATGTCGTGGAGAACCAAACAAATGCAAAAGACAATTAGAAATGAAGTGAAATCTAGGCCTATATAGGCAGTACTTCCCCCTAATATTAATTTGAAGCCCCTTCCCTAACATTCAATTTGGATGTTTCCATTCTGTTTTACTACAAAGGTAATGAGAATGCGTCATATCCGGCAGGGGGGTGATGGTTGTAATAATCGGGTGAGGTCATGAGGTGGAAGCTTCTCAAAATGTAAATACCTTGAAGGGGTGCTAGGGCAGTGTGTATATTGTATATATATATATATATATACACGCATATTTTGTACTTATAAAATCACATAGGTATATGTATATGTGAAAGGTTTTTGTGGGTTAATGTTTCCAAAAATGCCGGGGCTCTTGGGGGCCCCAGGAACATACGGGGAGTAGTTACACAAGGAGATTCTGAGGGTCTCTGTTCGGGATGTGCTGACGGTGGGTTTGAGACAGGTGTGGTATGAAGCAGTAGCGTCGCAACGATAGTGCACCACGGACATATGCAAACTACCAGCGCTATGTGCACGCAGAGAGGTGAGGTTATGGGGGCTTGGGGTGTATAACAGTCGGTGTGCATGTGTAAAGGCTTGAATGCATGTGTTATCCTACCTAGCCTGGCTGCAAACCCCACAGTCGGGGTTTCTGCGAAAGTTCGGATGTAGTAAAGATATGGGACTGGGCTCCGCGTGTTAGGTTACAGTCATACTCTCTTGCTGTCGGAACGTGTAGGATCCAGCTTTCAATGTCGGCAACTTAGATATCGTCAGAACCCCTACCTGGACTCCAAAGTAGGTACATTGTTAGCCCAACACACCTAAAAATGTCCACAAAGGCCAGTATTTTACATACTTTTATGGTTCAGGTAGAGCAGCCGGGACTTCAGCCAAAGACTCCAGACATGTCCCACTGCCCTCGTGCCTGCCGCATGCAGCGCTTGTCTGTGACGAAGCATTCGGGTTGGCCTCTAGACAGATCCCTGCCCCAGCCCTGCAACGAAGGAGTGAAGACAAACAGTGGAAGTATAGGTGATGGACCACGATTTCAGGTGGCCTCATCACTTTGGATGTTTGCGAAAGCCCCAAGACTGCCTGTGCCCCCGCTTTACCCCCAGCATGCTTGCAACAAATCCTGTCCTCGTGTCAAATATTCCCTGTGAGAACTCGAAGCGGAGCTTGTGCTGATGACGGGAGGCAGGATGCAACTACCGTAGCCAATTGACGAGCTCGCGTCAAGGTTGAGGGGTGAGGGTACCTGTTAGGTGGGTGCACCACTTGTAATAGTGGCATAATAGGAATACTAGCATGATCACAGTTATCCTTTATAGTCCCTAGTACTGAGTGGGATCTCCACCTAGGAGTTGGTCAAACTATGGCCTTTCTTGGGGTCCCCAGCCTTCTACGGTTTTGTCTGCAAGGTGGTGCCATTCATTTGGACAACCCCCCCTGGGAGACTGGGGGATCTGAACTGCTCTAGGGATGTATAGGATTCAGGAGGGTTAACCTGCTGGCTGTTTGTAGAGAATCAGGGAACGGAAATGAAAACGGAAATTCTTATACTATCGGGATTTATATAGTGGCTACTACAGGGGTCCGCGCTGGCATTCCTTGCTAACAATCGGAATAATATGGGTGCCTGTAGTGAAGACTGGCCGGCGCTGTAAACTCGCAGAAACCACTAAACCCTAAACCCTTGCATTGCTCTTCCTGGGAAGTACCATCCTTTCGTGGAGATCGCCAGCGGGAGTTTAATCAATCACTGCTTACAAAGTTTGGCTGCGACGCCCTACGATAACCAATAGCGTGCTGCAAAGCTAGAACGTATTCCAAACCTAAGTTTCCCAAATTCGTGTTATACTATCCAACACCTATGGCAATGGGTATGTGGGATACTATTCTGGGCATTTGGTGGGGACGTCAAGGAAGCCGATACCTTCATGAATCAAGTAGTTCAGCCCAGGGCCTCTTCTTGCATCACAGCCAAGTGTAGAGCTGTGCGCCCTCGGGAGTCCCGGCGGGCAAGGAGCATTTTCGCTCCCCCAGACTGCCTGACTTTTCATGTGGGGGTTGTCCAATATTCTTTCTCCCAAAAACAGCCCTTTCGCCGCCCTTTCGCGGACC